GCATGACTGTGTGGCGGCATGGTGGCAGCAGCGGTGGCGGGGAAACTCTGAGGCCTTCCCATGGCTGCCTTGGGCTGCTTGCACAGTTGGGCTGGAGGAGGGGAGGCCGTGGGGTGATTTACCAGCGTCTCGGTCCTGGGAAGCGCCGGCCGTACGTGCGGGCTTTGGGGAGGGCCGGCTGCAGTGCTGCGGGGTCGGCGGTCGGCCTGGCTGCGTGGCAGACGCAGGACTCTGGAGCGGGGGTCCAGCCAGAAGACATCTCTGCCGCCGCCACCTTCTGGGGTGGAAGGGCTGGAAACTGACCCCCAGCCTCCTCCCCCTCCCCCACGCCCCTGACTGCTTGAGGAACCGGGACCGGCTACCGCCCTCCCAGGGGGACGCGCCAGAAGTGCAGGTATTCCGCTCCCGTGGGAAATGCCAGCCCGGAACGGCGACCTTGCCGCTGGTCGGCTCCCTACAGCCGCCCTGGGCTCCCATTTCCCAGCGGAAAGAACAGCGAAGGGGTGCGCTGAAACAGCATGCGCCCAAAAAGTCATGCGGGGGGGGGGAGGCAGCAGTGGCCAGGGCGTATGGCGCTTTTGGTGGGGGCGGGGGGCTTTTGGCGCCCCCATGATGGCCCCGCGTTCTAGGTGAGAGTATAGCTCACCTAGTAAGTGGGCCGGCCCTGTCCACAGGGGCAGCTAGACAGGCACAGATCAGGGGTCTCAATGCGTGGATGAGAAAGTGGTGCCTGGAGGAAGGGTTTAGATTTGTTAGGCACTGGAGAACTTTCTGGGACCAGCCAAACCTGTACAAAAGAGACGGGCTCCACTTGAACCAAAAGGGAACTAGGCTGCTGGTGAATAATATCAAAAAGGTGGTAGAGTAGCTTTTAAACTAATCCGGGGGGCGGGGGGAGTCAACAGGAGCTGGGAAGCCTCAGGTTCGGGACAAGTAGCTCCAAAGGGATGATTGCATAAACACTCAGGGTAATATTGATAGGAGCACGATAGAACTTGGGAGTGAGGGCATGATGGCAACTAAGGGCCATGTGTGGCAACTAAGGGGCCAAAGGAGGCGAGGGTTACTGGAGAGGGAAACACATTATAGGCATTTATATTCCAATGCTAGAAGTCTCCGAGCCAAGATGGGGATCTGAAGAGCTTGGTGTTCAATTCAATACAGTGGGTATCTCAGAGACATGGTGGAATGGGGAAAATGTGTGGGATAGAGTCATTCCTGGGACTAAGCTCTATAGGCAAGACAGGGCTTCTCTGAAGTATGCCTGAACACGAAAGCATATACCCAGAATTAATCTTTGTTGGTC